GGCCTCCCTTCTGAAGCTGCTGCCCCCGCGACCCGACCCCGGATAGGCGGAAGAAAATGGATGGATGGATGGAGAGTTCTGTCTCTCTGAGGGAGGTCTTCTGAGACAAAGGTCAAAGACAGGTGGGACTGTTTCCACCTCGAGGTGACCACTACAAGAGACATGGACATGTCCTGTGCATGTCCCCTCCTCATCCTCGTCATGTTTACGTTGGTGAAAACTCATTTCCTTTCATCTCTGGAGATTTTTCTTATATTTCTGATAAAAATCACTTTTCCTCCTGCGTCTTGCGCGTGCTGCGTTTCCTACCCTGATCTTACAGGCGTCTCAGCTGTGGGTCGGTTCAGGTCCGGTTCATCTAAGAGCTGGTGCAGGAAATGTGAGATCATGCAATAAATCCAGCGATAAATGTGGAAGTCGGGACAAACTGATTCATTCTGTGGTAGACGGASTAATCACWGTTGAAACTACATCGATGTTGTGTTTGTGAAACCTTTGATTTCAAAATAAAATCCACGTGTATCATGTGTATTCATATGTTGCTGCATGTTTCCATCTGCTTTCCAAACAAAAYRATACATTTTGACAGCTTTTATGTATAAATATGTACGTATATTTATTAATATGGCAACGGTTTCAACAAAACTGGTTTGTTTATAGTTAATTACTGTGAAAATATAAGTTGTTTGTTCCTATAATCTAATAAAGTTCATTGTGTCTATAAAATCAATCTACGTTTTCCTAATWACTAGACACTTTTTTATGTCTGTACAGACATACCTGACATCAGAGGTGTCACAGCTGATGTTGGTAGGAGGCTTGTCAATATATATTGATGAGTCGACACCGCCTCCTACCAACATCAGCTGTGACACCTCTGATGAAGACAGAAGTGCACGTCGAAACATGTCAGGTATGTCTGTACAACAGTTGGTCACTGCTGAATGGTGACGAGGGACAGCAGCTGGTGTCCATAGTGTCTGGTTTAATGTGGTGTTTCCTGCAGGTGGTGTCCACGCTGCTGCTGAATATAATCCCAGAGAAAGCGGTGCCTCTGAACCTGGTTGGAAAATCCAAAATCCCCAGCAAGGCTTGGATTCAGGACCCACCACGAGCTGCTCCTGGATACAAACCAGAGAGCATGTGTGACTCACAGGTGAAGCACAGACAAGGTTTCTACTGAATTTAAAACTTTGTGCTAAACAATGGTGTGTGTRTGTGTGTGGGGGGGGGCTCTGGAAATATAAGATGGAGCAATCAGTTTATAAGAAAAGTTGTGACGTAATACTAAGAATGAAACAAGTAGGAACCAGGTAAAAACATTTATTTCCAGAAACTAAAGTGTCTGAATGAGTTTTAAACTCCCCCCTCCTTCCAGGTGGTGATTCGTCAGGGCGAGCTGTTGGTGGGGGTTCTGGACAAAGCTCACTACGGCTCCTCAGCCTACGGGTTGGTCCACTGCTGCTACGAGCTGTACGGAGGGGAGACCAGCGGGAAGCTGCTGAGCTGCCTGGCTCGACTCTTCACAGCCTACCTGCAGCTGTACAGAGGCTTCACTCTGGGTCTGAGCAGGAACACACAGGTACGCCCTCCTGACCGCCTCCCACCTGCTAAATCTGTTCTGCTTGTGTCCAGGTGTGGAGGACATCCTYGTGAAACCTGGGGCCAATATGCAGAGGAAGAAAATCATTCAGGAGTCCCTGAAGATTGGCACCAAAGTGAGTAGTTTATGAGCTGGGTTCTGATTCAATCAACTCTGATATTATTACTATAATATTATATATTAATACTATAGTATTACTCCTGCAAAGTTTGATACTTTGAATGGAAAGTAAAGCTTTAATACAGTTAGAGTTCATCCAACAAYGGCTGCTACAGTGAAGGTGCAATGAGCCCCGCAGTGCTTCAGGTGCACACAGGCTTTCTTACTGCTGAAGAGTTCATGTTTAAACTGGACCTGAACAGCTGGTCAGCACATCTGTGACAACAGAAACTAGACGTCTGTACATGTCTGTGTGAGCCTGCCTTCAGTGGGCAGCAGAGTGATGGGTAAAGGTCCTCTCACTGTGCCTCAGGCCCTCCAGGCAGCCTTCAACCTGCAGCCARATGTGGATCCAGCTGAGGCTCGGAGCCGATGGCAGGACGCTCACCTCAACCCCGACCAGAGAGACTTCAGCATGGCCGACCACAAGTTCAAAGAGGTGGCCAACCAAGTGAACAATGAGATCAACAAGGTAATCCAGGAGCGCTGGTGTCGGTTTGGACCAGATCTTACCTGCAGTGTTAGCCTCTGTTGTTTATAGTTGCTGCCAGCACAGCTTCTCTTCATTGTTTGTAGGTTTGGTGAAGGTGCTGTTTGTCACATTCTTTTCAACCAACTTTACAGAGTTTCGTGGCTGGAGCTAGCATTGTTAGCTCTTTGCTTGTGAGAGTAGTGGCCTGTCGCAGCTCCCAGCATGGCTTCTCACCGTGTTTTTATCTGGTCAAGGTTTAATAAACACAGTAGAGCTGAACCGATTTCTCAAATTATTCGATTACTAAAAATCCTTGAGGTAAACTTATCTGCCTCGAAGCTTCGTAAAAAAATACACACTGTTATAATCAGCGCAGTGTTGTTCACCCAGAATGTWATTTGTGTTACACACAATGCTACGATGTTAGAGCTTCCTCTAACAGTTACACTGTCGACACATGTATGTTTGCTAAGAGCTATATTTAGCTTCAGAAGAAGATGAAGAGTGCCAAAAAGTTAGAGGAAAGGTATTACTTCATACTGTGGGATTTCTTCTGGATAGTTTCCAACATCCATCCATCCATCCATC